AACTTTGGTCGTGCTTGCATAAAAAAGAAAACATCGAATAATGAGTCTAGTGTCAGACAACCGGTTAGAATGCACACAAAAAATATATGTATAGCCTTTTTTTCATATGGGATGTATCGATATGTTACAAAATAAAATGCAATTATGTATAATACGAGAAAAATCTTGGTCATTTGATGACTAAGATTAGAGCATACATTATTCTTAAGGTCGGTACGAATACTAGTCTTACTAAAAATATTCCTATTTTCGACTAGTATAAGGGCGTGTATGTAGTTATTAATTTTATTATTTAGAGAAAGTTTTTGCTGCCTTATCTACTTATCTAGAGTTCTTTGAACCGCCAATTCAAAGAGCTTTTAAAAATGATTTTTTTTAAGCGCTGCGGCTAAAGAAGGGAAACAAAACTGGCCTTGTAGAGCTAACTGTTTCGAGTTAACAGCTAGTTCTAAAGTAGTTCATTCGTCGTCGTCCGCTGAAAATTGGAGTTTACCCTGAAGACGACGCGAACGTCGTATAGGTTGTTCATTGGCAGATGATGTTCCCTGATTTTGCGGTAATAATTGTTGTGATTGTGCATTTGGTGTGGGAACATTATCCGTCAAGGAACGGGGTGAATACAATTTAAACGGTTAACGTGAACAACTTGTCGTACAGGACGACCTACAAGGTTAGTTATTGTAATATTTGGTCGATCTATTGACTCAACCTTGAACGGGCCTTTCCATTGGTTAGTTAGCTTTGGACGAACTGTGTCGTCATGCAAAAGTACCAAATCTCCAATGGAAATGTCCGTTTACATACCTTGTGTTGTAGATCGTATCCTAGTTTGTAGATTGACGATTTTCTTGCAATTTCGTTCCCAACCTCTATTATGATGTTGTTTAGGCCGGCTGCGAACTGGTCAGCGAAGTCATCCGATGCGAAGATACGACGCTGAGGCAGTTCATGGAGTATATCACTCCATGTTATTGGATACCTACCATAAACAATGAAGAACGGGCTATAACCTGTCGTCGCATTTTTACTGCAGTTGTATGCGAAAACAATAGGTTGGACAAAATCTGACCATTGGTGTCTGGCCTCTGAACAATATGCTGTTAAGAGTCAGTGATCACCTTTACAGTCTTTCTGCTTGCCCATTAGCCTTATGGTTATAAGCAGTGGTAAATTTATTCGTAATGCCGAGTGCTTTATTGATTTTAGAATATACCTCGCTAGTGTAAGTTCGAACCACGATCCGAAACAATTTCGTTTGGGATACCGTGCTTCGAAATGACATCATTGATCAGGGCTTTTACCACTGTATCAGTGGTTTGGTCTTCTATCGACGTACATACTACAAATTTACTAAAGGCGCATACGGTTATCGAAATAAATTTACTTCCGTCCTCACATTGAGGTAACGGTCCAATTATATCTGTGTGAACACGTTCAAAAGGTCTGTTGGCGTTGGGAAAGTTCCCATTTCCTCCCGAATAATACTTTTGAAGGTGTTTTTACCTTTTGGCATGTTGGACATGTATTGATGTATGTTACTACATCTTGATACAAGTTCGGCCAAAAGTACTTCTCTTTTATGTTTCTGTATGTTTTGCCTATTCCTAGATGCGATCCTATGAGCGGATTTTCGTGAAATATAGCAACTATACTAGTTTGCATGCTTTCATCTGGAATAAACAATAATTCCCTGTTATGTATGTTATAATATAGAGAATTGTTATGCATAGAGAAGTTTTTTAATTTGTCTCGAAATTCTTCAGGAAGTTCCTGTAGTTCATTAGTTAGGTATTTTATGATCGAGCTGTACTGAGAATTTCTTTGACTTACTTGAATTTCTTCAAGGGAAGGGAATGATCGCGTTTCAACTGCATTAACGAGGGGTAGCGGGTAACGACTTAGACAATCACAGAATGTGTTATGTTTACCTGCCCGATATTCGATCGTAATATCATAGGCTTGGATCGCAATCTGGTATTTTGCTAATCGTCCCACTAAATCTGCCCTGTGCATTAATGACTTAAGTGGCGCGTGATCAGTAATAAGTGTTATTTTCGCGTTCGCTACGTAGGGGTAAAATTGAGTTAGTGCGAAGACTATTGCTAAGGCTTCTAACTCAATGACGGCGTAGTTTTTCTCATGTTTGTTCAAAGAGCGGCTACAATAAGCAATAGGGTGTTCTCCCTGGGTATTCTTATTGTACTGCAGCAAACATCCGCCTAAGCCTATAGTGGACGCATCCGTATGTATGATATATGGCTCTCCAAACGTAGGGGAAACCAATAAGGGTGCTTCAACTAAGGCTTGCTTTAAGTTCCAGGAATGCCTGCTCTTGAGAATCCGTCCATTAAATGGCGTATCTTTGTTTAGCAGGTTATTAAGCGGCGTAGCTATGATAGAAAAACGCGGTATATAACGGCGAAAATATGATGCTGCTCCTAAGAACGATTTGACAGCTTTAACGTCATTTGGGCGCGGGATATTAGCAATACTGGCCACTTTATCTGGGTTCGGGCGAGTACCATTTCTGCTAATAAGAACTCCCAAGTAGCGTACTTCGGTTTGAAAAAATGAACACTTTTCTGGAGTTAATTTCATTCCAAAGTGTTTGATACGTTGAAAAACTTCTTCTAGATCTTTTAGGTGTCCTTCGATTGACTGACTTGCAATTATTATATCATCAATGTATGCAAAACAGCACGATTTAAGTTCACGTATAAGGCTGTTCGCTACCCTCTGAAATGTAGCTGGGGCACCTTTTAGCCCTTGTGCCATTACGTGAATTGGTATAATCCCAAAAATGAAGAAAACGCTGTGCGTTCCTATGTTCCTTCTAATAGAGGTATTTGGAAAAAACCACTTTTAAAATCTAGAACCGAATATATTTCTTTTCCACTCACCAAATCTAGAATATCCTGCATATGTGGAATGCAATAAGTTTCGGTCTCTGTAATTGCATTTATTTGACGATAATCAACTGTAAATCGCCATTGGTCTTTATTTGGACCTTTCTTGACCAGTACTATTGGGGAAGCGAACTTACTGGTGCTAGGTTCAATGATGCGTGTTCTTAGCATCTCTTGAATTTGTCGTTCTATCTCTTTGCGTTTTTCCAGAGGCACTCGATAAGGTCTTTGTTTTGGTGCTTTTGAGTTTGGTATAAAATTAATACTATGAGTGATTGGGCCATTATAGCGACCAAGGTTTCCATCTTTCCTACGAAACATTCGTGATATTTATCTAATAATTTGTGGAAATCAAAAAGTTGCTTTTCATTCAGAATAGAATGATTGATTTTAACGCGGTTTTCGATTGTCTGTGGATTGATTGTTGGGGAAGTGGGGTAGTTCCTTAGCGAAATTAGCCTCAGGTGGGATATATTCAGGAGATTCTTTGATTTGTTTGGTTCCATGGTCAATAGTATCGCTACTATATATTGAAAATATGGGTTCCCAGAGCATTTGTACTCCTACAAAATCTGCTATCGCAATAGGATTTTCTTTTTGTAAAGGAATTTGGGTAGGATATGAATTAAATATGCGTAAACATATTGTTCCCTGAGTGTTTGGGCATGAGAGGGTTTTGCCTACGTGGAATTCCGTTCGGTATGTTATACAGTGGGTTATCAGAGGTGAAGAGTTCCCAATGCTGGGGAAATATAGTATTAGTGGTTCCCATAACTATGTTATCTGAAAGATGGTTGTAGGGTGATGTCATCGACTAATTGAACAGGAATATTAAGAAGGTTGCTGTAATTTAGTGTTGTAAATGGGACAGTAATCTTATCGAAAGAAACTGTGTGGGAATGATAATTGATTGACATAGTTTTCGTGAAACGTTGGATTGTGTCGTTGCCTAGGATGAACGGAGAAGAACAATTGGCATCCGAAGCGACATAGCAAGTGATTCTTATGGTTTTGCTTCCTATAGTAAGATGTGGAGAGAATTGGCCAAGAAGGTCCATAAAGGATCCATTCGCTGTGATACCTTTTGTAATCAAGGGCTGAGAAAGCTGAGCCTTGATTTTTCTAGCGACTGTTTCGGAGACGATTGTAAGAGCGGATCCAGTGTCTAGAAGAGCTACTATTGATGAGTTGTTGAGTTTAGCCAGGAGATAAATCATTTGACTAGTGTTTCCATGATGGACACAAGAAATTCCTGGGAAAAGATTTGAAAATTGTTGTTTAGTCGCTTGTGATGCAGGTGGTGCTTTCGGTATGCGAATTATAGGTGGTTGTGAAGCCGATTGTTGATGAAATGTCGTAACTGGAGCGGACGGTGGGTTGATTATTGGATCTGGAGCTGCTGGTAAATTGATCATCGGTAAGGGAGCAGCAGGAAGGTTAATCATTGGCAGGGGAGCAGCTGGAAGATTGATACAAGCAGGAAGCTGAATGGACACGCTTACTGGTCCACTATTAGCTACGGTGTTATCCTGGGTATGTTGTTTTGCCGCAATGGTCAGAGAAGATTTTCGTGTCTTACAGGTGGAGGAAAAAATGAAGGAGATTAAATTACCTATGGCTCGAAAGAGTAGGTTCAACGGTATCCGAAACAAAGTAGTTTGGCAATATAAAATTGCGATAGCTACTAGAAGAAAGAGACAAATAGACACGATGACAATCGTTCTGACCAGATTGTGCAAGCCCAAGGATTCGAGAACTTTTTCCTTTTGTGATTGTAGAAACTCTCCTGCGTTGGATTCCAGAAATGCTGCTGTGTCCGTTAGTTCCTGTCCGAACTGGTCTGACATTGGTAACTCTTTCCTTACCGATTTTGACTGGACAGTGTACTATAAGTTGTTCATCGAGTTGAGATGGTTTTTTGAATAAAACAGGATACTTCGCTCAGTTTTGGAACTAATTTTTTCGCCAAGATTTCCAAAAATGGAACCTTGAAAAGAAAGAAGAAAGAAAAAAAAAAGGAGGATAAAAGAATACTCAATAGTGAAAAGGAAAAAAACATATAAATTAAGGTAATTTTCAAAATTGGACCTCGTTAAGATAACCCAAAAAAAAAAAGAAAGAAAAAAAGAAAAGAAAAAAAAAAAAAAAAAAAAAAAAAAAAAAAATAAAAAAAAAAAAAAAAAAAAAAAAAAAAAAAAAAAAAAAAAAAAAAAAAAAAAAAAAAAAAAAAAAAAAAAAAAAAAAAAAAAAAAAAAAAAAAAAAAAAAAAAAAAAAAAAAAAAAAAAAAAAAAAAAAAAAAAAAAAAAAAAAAAAAAAAAAAAAAAAAAAAAAAAAAAAAAAAAAAAAAAAAAAAAAAAAAAAAAAAAAAAAAAAAAAAAAAAAAAAAAAAAAAAAAAAAAAAAAAAAAAAAAAAAAAAAAGAAAAAAAAAAAAAAAAAAAAAAAAAAAAAAAAAAAAAAAAAAAAAAAAAAAAAAAAAAAAAAAAAAAAAAAAAAAAAAAAAAAAAAAAAAAAAAAAAAAAAAAAAAAAAAAAAAAAAAAAAAAAAAAAAAAAAAAAAAAAAAAAAAAAAAAAAAAAAAAAAAAAAAAAAAAAAAAAACCTGGTTGGATAAAATAAAAACTTTTTCCCAGCTCTGACTGGTGTAAAGATATAACAAATTCCTCTTATATTATGATCGAAAATGATTTCATCCACTACAATTTCTTTGCATTTGGAGACCATTAATACGTCTCCTGCAGAAAGAGCGAATATATCTTCTCGATTCAAAAGTATTCGCGCTGCAGTTGTTGGATTGATTTGAGCTATTCCTCTTATTGAGTGTGCTTTGAAGTTCATGAGCGTACAAATTTTGTCTAACAGAAAATTGAAATCTTGTTTTATGATTTCATCCATTTTAATTTTCAAAAATTGCATTTTGGTATTAAGTTCCGCGTGACGATTATCTTGGCGCTGTTCGTGGCCTATGGTCTGATCATTATTTATAGTTGCAAAATCGGGTTCTGAATGAAATGCGATATGACGAGCTATTTGTCGTGACATATCGGAAGTGGATTTATGAGTAGGATTTTGATCATCATTTAAAATCGAGTCTTTAGTCCCAGTTAATAAAGAGTTTAAAGATTTATGATTGCCTGATGTCATAGTTGCTAATCTTTTCTTTCGTGAAAATGGAATGTTTGAAGAGTGGCTTAAGTTGTCCACAGATCTTTTGTTCATATTACGTATGAGCCTGTAAATCAAGGGAACGGTAAAATGTGGTTCCTTTATGGCTGGTTCGTCCGTGGGGAGCTTGTATTGATCGTTTTGTGACTGCGCGCTAGATTTTGCTGTTTTTAGTAAAGTATCGTCAGTACCATATTGATTTTGAGTAGGCTGAGGAACGGTTGTTACTAGATTCAAAAGTTGCGAATTGTAAAAGTGTTTACGATTAATACCATCCACTACTTCGGGGTATTGTGAAAATAAGATGATAGGATGATAATCCTCTATTTCTGGCAAAACGATGAATACACCATTATCCATTGGGATTGCAGAATTATTCAAACACCATGCGTTAAGTTGTGAATGTGAGAATGTTACATTTTTATAAGTAAAAGCCGATTGGATGTTATTTAAGTACTATATGAGTAGGGGTTACATAGGCAACTCCCTCAGTGGCTTTTACGTAACGGCATATTGAAGTAGTAGGTGGTGGTGTCCAAATAACGGTACCATGCGTGAGGTTACATTGGCTTTTTGTAATGTTACAATGTGCCATGCTCCCAAATTGGCCTATTAAATGATTGCCATCAAAAGTTGCAACTGTTCCTTTTTCGAAATATACGTTTGTAGTGACTGTGCACTTTTCTCCGAAAAACCATGGATAGGAATAATGAATTTGGTTTTCCGAACCATATACACTAGAGGAGAGCTGTTCCAGCGGAACGTCCAAATATTTTCTTGATTGTGTAATTGACTCGCAAAGAGTAGGGTCTATAGGGGTCATAAATTCTTCATCACTATTGACTGAGAACGAAACGTGCAAGTATGAAGATGCGCATATTCTCCTAGTTTTATTGAAGCAGTGAAATGCTGGTATCAACAGTGGTTCTGTTCTTTCAACGTAAAGATTGGCTCCCGTGATCATGACTTGGGAAGAATTTGGGGAACTCGTGCATGTCACAGGATCAGGGAAAGCTATGGGCCAACCGGATTTTCCCGCTGCACAGAGTTGGTATTTTAGAGAAAATGTTGAACAAGGACTTATCATTAGGCTTACGATAGCGACAATGAATAAAGAAGTCATGGGTTTCAAAATGGTTTTTGGACTACTTGTAGTTATGGAGTTAACCGAGAAATGGGAAGAAGAACTGGGTTGATGGCGAAATGGGGACTGTGTACGGCGAAATGGGGAATTACCCCGGTGAAATGGAGGGTTATCACGGCGGTATGAGGAGTTAGTATTACGATATGGAGAGTTGGCACGACGAAATGGAGAATTTGCGCGATTGTTCTGATATCCTTGATTTCTATTATAAATCGGAGTCGTTGGACGATTTTGTTGTCTACGAACTTGGGGTGACTGGTTTCTACTGTACCTTTCTTGTGTTGTAGGTGCAAACCTGACATTATTGCGGGACGGGCTTCGAAAGCGAGGGTTATTCTGGTTATTATTTCGATAATTGTTGAAGTTATTATATCTTCTAGGTTCGGAATTAGAATTGAAATTTCGATTAGGTCTACGAAAATATGGAGTTCTAGGAGTTGCAGGGGATCTGCTAGAAACTATTGTATCAATGGCTCTGTCGATTTTTGCTATCAACAGGTCTTCTTCAGGAGGGGAAGTGGAGCTATTTATGGTATGCATCCGTTCTGCATTGCGTAGTAAAGTGTTATAATCGGAAGGTAGCGGACCAAGAAGTTTCAGTTTATCCTTGATTTTATTAGGTAAACCATTAGTGAATACCATATTTTGAAGAAATTTGCGTTGTTCAGCAAGATCTGTATGAGGATATGCATCCATAATTTCTTTCCGGATTCTATTCGAAAAAACTACAGGAGATTCGTTAAATTCCATCCGCATATTCATAATCCTTTCTCTAGCCATATCCATGAACTGGTCCGTTGAGAAATGCTCTTTGAGTTGGGTTATTGCTGAACGCCAATTTGATTTTTGCTCATCTGTCATATTATCATAAACTGCTTTTGCCACTCCCTTGAGATGGGCCGGGAGTAGACGTGCCATTTTGGATTCATTAATTCCCATTATGTTACTTATTTCATGGAATTCGTGTACAAAATCCATAAGACCAGCACCCATGTTTGCTCCCGAAAACGTTGGAAGTTTGCTAGCGTATGATGCTAGACATAGCCTTTCAAATGCGGATTCTAAGTTATTAGCAGGTTGATTGTTGGCTTCCATTTGAATGTCTTGGGGTACAGTAATGTTTTGATTGGGGTTTTCGAAAGTGAATTGCACGTAATCGTATAATTGCACAGTTACGGCTTGAACGTATTGCTCTTGAAAGTTATTAATGGATGGGAATTGCAACTGTAGTTGGTTGCTTGGTTCGTCGATAACTTAGTGGAGAAGGCGTGCGCAATGAGCTGATTGTTGAGTAAGGAGTTAATGAAGATAAACTATCGTCTGAAGGCGGGGCAGTTGGTGTTAGTCGCGGAGGAAGAGATTGTGCGCGACTATATCTGGGTTCAGAATCGGAACTGGCAATGGAATTAGCTGGTTGAGGTGGCGCGAAGAATTCGGTTTTGTTTTTTAGTTTCTTTTTATCTGGGGTAGTAGATGGATCGTACTCTGGTGCGACGCTTAACGGAAAATCTCCCCTCTGCAAGTCTATGTAAAGGTCTTCCGTCCGAATCTGTTAATATTTCGGAATCAGAATTACTCATATGCGGGAGGCTAAATACTGACTTATTTGTTTTTGGGAATTACTTTTGTTATGCTACTTAAGTTTTGTTTTATTTCACTTAATAGAAGAAGTAAATTCAATTGATGAATAAATTGAAAACAAGTTTTTTTTTGTTAGAGTCTATCAAGCCCTTTTTTAATTTAGGAAATGAAGGAAGTAAAGGTAAAGAGAAATATGAAATACTAGAGTTGTTACTGTTTAAGACTCACTGATCCTTGAATGGATTGGTTGTTGAATGAAAATGTTGATCGTTTGTTGTAGATTGTTTGAGTTCCTGGCAGTTGGTGATGTTCCTTTTGGTTGGTTGTTGATAGGCGAAGGTGGGTCACTACTCCAAGTGGAGCTTGATGTGCGAATGATTCTGGGGGTCGAGGTTCTTGTGCTTATCAGTGAGCTTTGTTTGCATTAGAACTCCATCTACCTAGTCGTTGATGGGACTCCTCCCACATATGCTAAGGAAATTGTAGATTAATAATATCAAAGTGAATAAATTACCATCGAAACAAAAAAATGCTTTGCTACATGTTTTTGTCCTTTATTTGGAGAAAAAACGTGTTTTCTTCTCGCTTAGGAAGAAGGAGCTGTGTAGGCAGAAGTATTTTCAGTGTTTTGGCGGGTTATGATCAAAAGAGAGGGAGTTGTAATAATGTTTGCAGATTTATAAGTGAATGCTATGGTAATTCCAACCTTTAGGTAGCAATATGAAAGTTCTAACTGCAGCGTTTCGATGAAAATCACACTTAACGCTTCAATTTACATGAATTTAGGCGTATGTTGGTGAAATTGAGGTATTTTAGTGGTATTTGTACCTAAAACAGTCCTACGTGCTCGAAAAGTTCCGAAGCAATTTGTTAAAATAAGAAGAAAAACGAAGTCTGGATAAGCCATGTGTGAGTTCAGTCTAATCGTTAGTCCGTTGATTGGAAGGTAGCCATACTGTAGACTTTCCTTGGTGTATTCATCACAATACCGGAAATCGACTGAATAGGTAACTTATTTCTACTCAAAATGAGGTTGTCACGACTATTTGTCTGGAAATACCTAAAAATACTAATAGTAAATGATTATTTTGTTCAACCTAAGCTGTTCTTGTTCCATTTCTATCAACTTTCAAAAAGAAACTGTCATTTTTCTTGATTTCGCCGTTAAAAATGATTTCTCGAAAAAAAATCTGGCGTAGGGTTACGGTAGGTTGCGTGTTGTGTGTACTTGCACGCCATGTGCTCTAATAAGACCAATTTAGGATAAAAATAGGATTTTCTTATTTTTAGCGTTTTTTTTTCCACTTTTTCTGCTAAAAATGAGGTTTCAATTGGGTAAAGGGGTCGTATCTATGAATTCACGTAGTTTCCTCCTTTTCTCATTGCATTTAGAGCTGTTTTAGTCATTGTAAATGCCTAAAATCCTAATAGTTTTGTATGAGGCATTCTTCACCATGATTTGCGCATCTTATGCGCTCATGTCTGTTTGCGCGTAATTTTCCATGTTGCTAGAATATGTTGAGTCATGTTCTCTCAATGATGATTCTTTCATTCTTTCCTAGTTTAGCATTGTGATTTGTTCCTCTCAAAGGAGTCTTTTGGTGTTATATAACTATTTTGTCGTTGCTTCTTCTAGAATAATCATAAAAACATTTCTAGTAAGCGGTGTTATTTCATAGTTTAGACTATTCATCGAAAGTAATTAATCGTAGGCCGTTTTTATGACCATTTTATTTACTTTTCGAACGTACTAATTAGTTTCGTGGCGTATTATTTTTATAAGTGATATAATTCGTGACTTTTTCTATTTCAGAAATATGATGTGCCTGTTAAATGTATGGATACTCGACTCAGGTAATTGACCTGGTAAGTGCATTGATACTGAAATTGCTTTTAGCATATTGATATGGTTTCCGTGCATTGCCTTAGGTATATCTGAGTCTACCCCGCGTTATCTTTGCGTTCTTCTTTTCATGTTTCCGACTACCGACGGATATATATAGGCTTCTGAGTTGCTATAGTTATTGTGTCCACTTCACTATTGGCTCTAATCTTTATATTCACTTCATTTCCTCAAAACAAATCTTCCTATTAGTCTAATTATCTCTCAGTTCTCTTAGTATTATACTTATTACCTTTAGTAGAATGCTGAGATGTTTGAATTCTAGATTGTGCTTTGGTTTTTTTTTCTCGTATTATACATAATTTTATTTTGTAACATATCGATACATCCCATATGAAAAAAAGGCTATACATATATTTTTGTGTGTATTCTAACCGGTTGTCTGACACTAGACTCATTATTCGATGTTTTCTTTTTTATGCAAGCACGACCAAAGTTTTCAACTCTAATAGAAATGAATACATGTATAGGTAACTCGTAAAGTAGGATAATTACTTTGTATTACAATTTTTTTTTGTTGTTCACAATTTCATCTCATTGCACCACCCTTTACAACAAGAAACCGTTACTACGGTCTCATCCAATATCTTGTTGTAAACCCACCAGCTCGAGGACGAGCTTATCTTGAAAGGAGGGAGTGATCCACCACTTCCCTTCCGCCACCATTTTTGTACTGTACCGCCTAATGAAAATGGCTCCAGTACTCTTGTTAACTTCTTCACTATCTGTGGTCAGCTGCCCTTTGGCCATTACTTGATGCATCATTCCATAAGTTAGTTCGAAAGAGTTTTTTTTTGTCTTCCAGTGTTGTCGAATGACAACGCTGTTGTGAGCGAGGACGTGGTTATCTGTTTTCGGATAACTCTCCGACCTCACCTGCATTATTACTGTCATTATGTCATTCGAAATTATACTACTACTGGATCTGGAGGACACGCCTGAACGATGCTAACGGGAACGATGCTAACGAGCTCGAGGACGAGCTCACTCGAAGGAATGGAGATGTCGGGTCCACGTCCACTGTGAAGGGGCGTGGCCCGGGTCACGGTATGAAAGGAGGCTGGCGCTGGCTAGCCGGGGTTCGACAGTGATGGTCGAGCCTTGACCACACCCCACCCCTCTCTTCGGACCCTGTATTCCACATTACTTTATATTCAATAAATATGTATAGCCTAATTTGTTTTTGTACTAAAGAACCGCTACACATTCAGATATAGGCGTCATGAACTTATAATCTGATAAGTGGTAGTTCATAGTGATAGCTGATTTTTGGTAAATGATAGGTGTAATTAGTGACAACTGATAGAATACAACTGCAACAGGCTAATCATTTCATTGGCAGAAAACATTACATTTGTGGAGGCCGTCGTCACTTGTGGTGTATGGTCTGCACTTACGCTCTTGTGGTTTTTCGAAAGGGAGTATATCTCTTTTGTATACAAAGGGATGACGGAACTAACCGTCACAGATTGTTTGATCTCAGGAAACTAATGGAAACTATTCGTTAATTGTCGCTAGCGCCGCCGCATTCTGAACCAACCTGGGCAACTTGTTTTTCGCTATTTACTTTTCATTCCCTTTCATTCAAATGTAACGAAAACTGGGTCGAAAGAAATATATACGGGTCTATTCCAGTTAGGGGGCATCATGATGCAGTTTCTCGGCGAACTAGTGTAAACTCGAACATTCCAGCTTTTCACGCATGTCAAGTGACTGCCCTCACCCCCACCCCCTAGGCTGGCTACACTCCCCCTGGCTCAGAGTTACCGTAGCTTTTTGGGAGTCACCGCACCATGATGCCCCCCTAACTGGAATAGACCCATATAGCTTCTTGGGTTAACCTTGCCAGGTTCGCTAGTTGTGATGATGAATAAGCCGATTCCCATGATGGCCAGCAGGTACGTGTACTGCTGCAGTTTTCCGCCGCTAAACACAGACAGCTTTAAAGACATGCGGCGAAAAATCGAATGTGCTGTCAGTCCCCCAACATTCGTCAATTCGCCGCGCCATTCGCCGCTCACCTCGTGGAATCAATTCGGGGCGCGGGTGTACTTGAGATTGCAACGACCGTTTTGCGTCCGCAGCTCGCCGCGTGCGAAGGTCGACGCGACGTGCAGGCAATTGTGTCGACGCACCCTCTTGCGGGTTGACACTGCGTCATTGATCGACCATCGTTTGAAAGCGGACGACTTTCATCGAGAGACGACTCATCAAGGTGGCTTACCTTTCATCCTCTTATTCCTCGTTTCTTCGCAAGAATGGTTTCTCTGGAAATCCTGGATTTCACCATTAAGTCTCTTTCCCTGTTGAAGACACTCATATTCTTTTTGTGAACCATCACTAGGACACGAATTTCGAGAATTTCGAGCTCAGTATGCTTCGAAGTGAGCACTCTGAGAGAGACACTGTGGTGCAGTAGTTGGGCCGGCTAGAAATCGTAATTTTTGAGGGCGGAGGAAGCTCCAGGGTAGGTGAGCTAGGGTTTACTTCACTAAGACAGAAAACGCCTTTTTTTCGCGTTCCGCAGCGCGAAACGTTTTCGCTGCAGGAAGCTCCAGGTCCACTCATGATCAGCGGTGGACCTGAGTTCCCGCAGCGAAAAATGTTTCGCGCTGCGAAACGCGAAAAAGTCGCTTTCTGTTCTAGTGAACCACACCCGGTGAGCTAATGCTCAACCCCGCAGTGCTCCCTCTCCTCACCCCCATTTTCCACCTCGCCACAGTCTATGGCAATCTAAAGCGTTTCATACGTGGAAAGCAACCTACTCACTGTGCTCCTACTCATTTCATTGTATCGAAATAAGGCAAAATCAAAGTTGTGAATATGATTGTACTTGGGATTACACGCGCACAACGTACCTCAAAGTGGTAATTTGCTGAGTGCAGAGGGGTTGAGTAGCTCACGAGTATCACAGACGCCCTCAAAAGTGCGCAACAATGGCGCTGTGCCCTTACGAAGTTGTCTTATGGCGACTATTGTGAACTAACGGACGAGATACCTCGTCCCATGGCGGTCTCCGGACATCTGTCAACCGTGAGGCTAGGCAATTCAGCGTTTTGTTGTGCTGTCTGGGAGCTCTCACACAAGCGCACTGTCACAGAATTTGATGAGGCCTGAACAACAAACAAGGGAATGGAAATGAATATGTTGCAAGGACGAGTTGTCCGGCCACGGCAATGTGGTAATTACGGCCTGGGTGCTCGAAGGCCAATAGGACCGCGCTATATGACGCACACTCCATCAGGCCGATTTTTTTTTCGCTAGCGAATCGCTCGATTCGCAAACTATGACATCGGTCTAACGGTTAATTCAAAACGCGCGGACTAGTAGACTGTGTAGCAGGCAAGTTCGTACAACTCGTCCGGCTCCGCCCCATTCCCATCTCGAGGAGGAGAAAGGGAGTACCTGTAATGGCTTCATCGGCGGTTTGATTCTTTTTCCAGTTTCAGTCCGGCTTGCACAATTTTATTATCGACCGCTGCTACCCCACCATTTGAACCGGGAGTGTTGCGTTAATATCATTGACTATCAGGGATGAAATATGAGTGTACTATTAATACACCCAGCCTGAACCAGTGAGACTTCAAAAATGTCATAAACCTTTTTTGAAACTTCGTCTACTCCAGTGTGTTGATCATGAATATGCCATCCATTTCTGGTGCTGATGCCTTTTCACGTCAGTATAGTGCAACTGGGTTATTGGCGCAAACTGACGAGAAAAGGCGTCTGCATAAGAATAAGTGTCATTATAAGTCATTATAAGAGCACCGAGTCGCCCTTACGAGCGAGTTTTCGACGAGAAGTTTTTTGCGATTGGGGTTGAGGCAGTAGGAGCTTAGTAGTGCCGACGTTTGTACTGCTAAGTTTCCTTTTACCCCATATCTGAATAAGCTACCAAAAGTTATGAAAACCAACCTGCTTCGCAAGTCCTTTGCGGGGTGTGTCATCGTGGTATATGGCGCGGAGAGTTGGCGATAAAGCGCCGTGTTCATACTCGGCGTTTTGGAAACTGGGGCAATGAAGGATGCATCAGCAAAGATCAGATACGTACTTGAGGGGATGTAGGAGTACGGGATCAGGGATTTTCATTTAAATCAATCATTAAGGATCAAAGATGAATACAGGTTACGCGGCTCTCACCTGAGCCTTCTTGCCTTCTTGTCTTCTAATATCCTATTTTCCTCATCTCGATTCACATCCGTCCACATATGACAAAATATTTGTTTTGCTGATGTTCAGTATCACGAAACGGATTAGTATCTCTGCAGGGGTCGTTATTTCTCCACCACCTCGCTCTGATTTCAGAAAAAGGAATGAAAGATTGGTTCATCACGCGAAACTTTAATACAGCCGCAAAATCTCTTGTTATTTAATTATGCAGAGCGAGTTGATGCTGTCGATGTTTGAAATAAACTTTTTCAGGAGGAGTGCTCGTACTTTATAGCCCGCGATGGAGGAAACAATTGCGTCAAGTACGTGGAATTTTATATATGTGTCACTGTCTAATAATTTTACTCAAAAAAGATTCTATAATAGTTGCATCGCAAAGGTTAGACTACCGTCACACTCGGCGACGGACAAGCGATGGATCGGTCGCGATCGCTCCATCGCTTGTCCGTCGCCGAGTATGACGGCGGACTTACAGCTACACCTTGGCAGTCGAATCGAGTGATTCGCAAACTATGACATCGACCTTAGTGACCCAATGGAATGGCTTTTCATTCAAATGTTTCAGGTGCTTTGGGGGATGGCACTATATGTGCCAAACATCCGACTCTTTTGCGAGCTTTGACGTCGGGTAGTGCACAGCCGTCGTCCTCGAAAGGACTTCCTGAACCAGCAGCAGGTATTTCTTATGTCTTTATCAGCCGCGCTTTCTAACACTATTCACTTACTTCGAGTGCTTCAGAGGCTGCCACTGAATGTACCAAAGATCCGACTCTTCTGCAAGCCTTGACGTCAAGCAGTGCGCAACCACTGACTACGGAAGAAGTCCTTGTGTCGGCGCCAGGTATTTTCTTCGATATCGATTTTATTTGTTTGGTATTCTGGGTTACCTGTCACCTTAGCATATTGAATAAGCTTGATATCAGCACTGAATTGCTCACATGGTTCAGAAGATGGCAGTGACTGTACCAAAGATTCCGCTCTACAAGCTTTGACGTCAAATGCGCAACCAACGACTTCGAAAGGAGATCCTGAGTCAGAGACAGGTATTCTATACTTTTCTATTTGTCTTAATTGTTTCCAAAATGGTACACATTGCTGAGACGCTCAAAGTATTGTTTGTTCAGCTATGGAGGGAAATTCCACACGCCCCCCGCATCATCTGCAGCTTTCGGGTCATCTGTTTTATGGAGTGCTTGAGGCCAGTCAAAAGGGTATTCATCCTGTTATCAGATACTCCATCCCAGGTAGGTATACTGATCAGCTCAATTTAGTTTTGAAATAACTACGTTGCTTTTACTCTACCTTTTTTTAGGTGGAGAGTATTGTTATGCTTTTGAATACGTGCGTACCGCAAAGCGAAGACAACTGGTAGTCTACCGTTGCACTTCATGCAGGAGGAAGGGCATTACCATCAACATTGCGGTAATGGAAATCTTTCTTTTCTCATTGTAAGTATTGACTTAGTGAGATGTTTCAGGTGCAGAATGGGTGCGAGTTCATCGGAGATCCTGCCGAAGCTCCCGCACGTGTGCAAACCGTTGGAGAATGCAAAGGACCAAGTGCAGCGAATGGTGTACCAGGTAAAAAGTTTGCTTTAGTTCAGTTTAGTTTGCAAGAAAAGTTCTCAGTGATTATGGTTACAAATATAGAATTTATTTACAGTCGTGCCGAGCCATTGCAACGGATCCACAGCTTGCAAAAGCGAAACCTAATCAGCTTTGGAAGAGTATAGCTCAGTTCATTGACAATAATGCTCCTGATGGTAAGCAGCACTTCACGGGGGGATGGCAATGAGGGTCACGGGGCAGTGGTCAACCAAGCGCGTGAGAGTCCAGACAGAAAAGCACATACTTTCTGCTTTTCTAGGACTAAGCCTTTTGAAGGAAGGAAAGAAAGCAGAGACGCTGTAATAGTGTGCATATGCGAGAGTGCCCAGAGAACACTACAAAACGCTGAATCACCAAGCCTTCCGGTTGACCGCTGCCCTTGGACGGGCAATGAGAAGCACTGATAACAAACCCTCTTCCCTCACCGTATTTAGAATAGGGAGCAATTCTTCATCCTTGGCAGGCTCATTGTGGCCTATTGTGATTGTATCAGACTGAGTAACTGAAAAAATCGAGGGATTTCCTGAGCTTGAACGTAGCACCATTTTCCTAGGCAATTTTTTGTCGCCCATATTAAAGGCCATCATGAAGTTATAGTAGTTTTGGATATGTTCTTTGATTCTCTGGCCAAAAACTTTGGCTTATTTTAGCAAAGAGTTTCAGATCAGATTTGTTTCAGTAGCGAACTTCAGTTTTGAATGCAAAGGCGAAACGGTGTTTCTTTTCTGCTGCTCCCCTTGAACTTAACTACGATTGTTATTTATTAGTATATTGATAATAATAAACATTCAGATGACACTCAACGTAGTGAGATGCTGAAGCAGTTTTACAGAAACGGATACAAATCTAGGAGACGAACAATTGCAAGGTAAAAAAAACGGTTCTTGAAAAGTGACATCAGCTGTATAAGAGATGTTGTTTAGAGCCGCTGCGAAACTCCGTCGTGCCGTAGAGGAGAAAGTGAAAGACGAAGCAGATGGAACAGAAAATTCCGTGAAAACGGAACAGTAGTTGTCGTGGCCTTTTGAAAGATAACCCTAGTCCATTTTAATTAAATAAAATCACATTTCATGAAAACGGACAAGAAGACCGCATGTGGTAGTTAAAAGTCGATTCTTTTCAGTGAGAAGCTTGAAGCTTTAAACTTGTCGCAAATATGGTCACGGGTGTAGTGCAGCTTAAACAGTTTCCAAAGCCTTGCAGAATGAATCTCACACGTATTCGGCATCAGACACGCGTAAAAATCTCTTGGTCTGTGAAGGCAGCCTGCTGTCCTATGCGAGTTTCACTGGTCGTGAGTAAGTGGAAGGGCGGGAATTCTTTTGAGCTTATGGTGTCATGATCCTTTATGCAGCATTATCTTTAACCAATGTAGCTCTGCGCGCTACTGTGCTCTAACGATTTGAGAAGAGCAACTACCATCCTGACTTCAGTTCTGTGCATTCTGTATCCTCCTGTGCTTTGAGTACCGTCCTCGTCTGTTGCTCTCTCCACCGCTTTTCTGCTGGGTTCCATGCAGTATTTTGACCATTTTGTAAAGTTTCTTTCATTTTAGCTCCGCCTACGTCGGTGCACGCTCCACCCACCAATAGCACTAGAAGTCCATCCACACTTAGTGACTTCTTCTTCTTCTTCTCCCTAGCGTTAGTCCCGCGCAGTCGCAGGGTCCGCTGTCTTTGTCAGTCGTCGCCACTTCGCTCTGTCTAGGGCATCTCCTGCAGTGGCCGTGATTTCACTTAGGTCCTTCTTGATCACATCCTTCCACCTCTTCTTTGGGGCTCCTCGCGGTCGCTTGCCTTGCACTTCGAAGTCCATCGCATTCCTTATCGGGTGGCCTTGCGGTCTTCTCAGCACATGTCCATACCACCGCAGTCGTTGCTCCCTCACCTTCAGCTGGACAGGGGCAGTCTGCATGACCGCTCTGACATCCTCGTTCCTGACCCTATCCAGTCGCGTCCAGCCGCAGGCCCACCTCAGCATCCTCATCTCAGCGGAGTGAAGCTGCCTTTCGTGATTCTTGTTCAGGGGCCAGCACTCGCTGCCGTAGAGCATCGCAGGCCTTACCACTGTTCGGTACACCTTCCCTTTGAGCGCTCTGGAGCACCTTCGGTCGCAGAGGATTCCAGTGGACTCCCTCCATTTCATCCATGCCGCGTGATGATCCTCCCCATTACTGCCTGGTCCACACTGCCGTCGGCCGCCAGATCACTTCCAAGGTATCGGAAGTCCTCTACTCTTTCGATGTTTCACCATGCCGTCATGATCGGCTCTGCACCCTCTTCAGAACTCAGGAACTTGGTCTTCTTGACATTCAGCCGTAGTCCGCCTTCTGCCAGGACCTTCTGCCATTGCTGCACCTTGGCCTGTAGTTCCTCTCTACTATCCGCTATCAGGGCGATGTCGTCAGCGTAGAGGATGGTCTTTAGGTCCTTCCATGAGCCCTTCACCAGGACATCTAGTCAAGGAAGGAAACGGGCTCAGAGCTGCGACCTCTTGCCCCCCAACCGTTATGTCCACTTCCTTCGTTAGGTCCGTGTGGGGTGCGTATCGCTGCCTTCGTCCCCATCGTACATATCCTTCACCAGCGAGACCAGGTGTTCTGGCACGTTCCATTCCCTAAGCGCTCTCCATAGTACCGCTCGTGGTAGCGTGAACGCCTTCTCGCAAAGTCGAGGAAGCTATTACAAGGTCGGCGTTTTCCCGATACTCCTCGCATCACTCGCCTTGGCGCATGGAGATGGCATATCCGTTTGACCTTTCGGCATGAACCCGAACTGTTCCTGGGAGATGGGGACCAGCTCCCGCAGTCTCGAGTCGACCAGTCGCTCGTACAGCTTCATTGTATGAGCAGTCAACTTGATCCCGCGGTAGTTGGAGCAGTCCATCGCGTCACCCTTCTGCTTGAAGATGGGGACGATAGTGCTTGTTCTCCAGGCATCTGGCATCCTTCCTTCCGCAGTTATGTTGTTGAGGAATCGTGTGAGCCATCTTATCCCGTAGTCACCCAGCGCCTTCCATGCCTCAATTGGCACCGGAAAGCCATACTGGCCAACCACCGCCTTCTTCCCAATCTTCATCCTCCCAAGTGCACACCTAACCTCATTCTCAGTCCAGAGTGCGATGGGACCAGCTGTGGCTTCTGCCCGTGAGTTGTTCTCGTGGGGGAACTCCTCGTTCAGAAGTGCACTGTAGTACTCTTCCCACCTCCTCTTGACTTCGGCTGGCTTCCTTAGGATGACACCATCTCTGCCTTTCACACTTTTCACCACCCTGATGTCTTGGGTAGCCGATGCCGGGCTTGGCCAGCGTCTGAAGACGAAAACTTTCTACTCGTTCTGCTTTCCCACCCTTCGTCGTACATAGCGTCCATATCCGTCATCGCTCCATCTCTTCGCCTGGCTACGGCGGCTAGCGGCCTGTTGCAACTCCCTGTCTAACGGCTATCGAGGTCCTTCGCTCCACGGGTCGTCTCCTGCTCCAGCCCCGCTTCTGTACTGCTCACTTCCTCTTCTGCCTTCCAATACCGAACCTCGCGGCCTTGCCTCCAGTTCCCAGAACCTAAACGTTCTTGTCTCCTCTGCATTCCACCACCCCGGTCTCGCCCACGTACCACTCCCCTTCGGCACATAGCCACGACTCGCTCTCCATCCGTCCTCTGCTCCCATGTTTCGCTGTACCTTCGCGCCTCCCTTACGGACCAATTGTATACCCAACTTCCTTCAATCCTTCCCTTTGAAGCGTCATCCCGCATTCTTCGCGCCATTCGGTGCAACCTTCCACACACCACCGGACTTCTCCCGTCGGTTCTTAAACGCCACTTGTCTTCTTCCCGGGCGCTCCCCACATCGGCAATCGTCTGCCAGGAGGGCCTGTGCTGCGGAGCCAATTCCTCGCCAGGGAGTACCTTGATGTCTTTCACCGATCTCAGGGATGATCTTCTTACGAGCACATGGTCGATTTCCGTATGTCGTCCCCCACTGCTGTAGGTCACCTTCTGAGTCTCCCTTTTCGCGAAGAACGTGCTGCAGATTGCCAGATCGTGGGCCGTAGCCAGGTCCAGGACCCTCTCTCCCTCGGCGTTCCTCACTCCTATCCCTCTACCTCCGTGCACCCTTTCCCGGCCTCTCCTGTCACTGCCGACGTGGCCATTCAGATCACCTGCTACGGTCAGGTAATCGCCTTCTGGAATCGTTCTTATGGCTTCGTCCAGGCTCAGGTAGAACTCGTCTTTCTCACTGTCGGGGCATCCTGTCTGCGGCGCGTAAGAGCACGATTCCAGCATACCCTCTTATCGCTGTCTATCCCTCCAACAGCCCAGATCCGATCGCATCGATCCTCGTTCACCACGGAGCACTACAGTGTTGAGCGAACTCGGCTACCAGCTCATTGCCACATTAAAACCGTCCGCTAACTGTCTCTCCATTATAAGATAGCCGCTGACACCTCCCACGATTTCCCTCGGACCCTCTAGCGCCTTTCCCTCGCGTCCCGAGTGCAGATAGGACTTGGCATATCTCTAGCCGCCGTACATCACACCTTCAGTCAAACCTCTCGCAGACTCACCCAGTCGCGTCCTACGTTCAGAGTCCCTATTCGAACTAGCTTCTTTGGCCGAGGCCGTTCACTCCTCGGTAGCCCTCGCATACTGACCACAGAACTCGGGCGAGGGTTCTGCGCGCCACTTCCGGGTGACGTCCTAGCTTTATCACTGATATCTTTTTCGACTTTAGACATGTTTTGTGTGACTGGGGTGTTCATCAGCCGGCCTGTCAACCTGGGCCTGACGCTGGTACTAGAACCATTTTTGCAATTTTTGCAAGGCATGGTTTAAGCCTCGGCAGGGATCGAACTCGCGGTTTTTCGGAGGTGCAGACATGAGTCTAACCTCTTAACCACTCGGCTATCCCTGCCTATCCTCCTATGACGCTAGCCTTCTATTGCGGCACCACCCTCAGCGTTCTCACCTCGACGAGCGGATTTTTGTCAGGGGTCAGCACTGCTCTCAATGCCATTGCAAGACTTGACACCCCCGATACACTCGCGCGCTCTGGAGCATCGCTGGTAACAAAGTCATCATGAAGAATACAACTGGACTCTTTCAGCTACATGCATGCGTTTATACGAACTTAATTGCATGGTGCTTTACACTAGCTGAGCAACTTGGTTTTCTTGACGTTCACCTGGAGTCCACATTCTACAGCACTACTGCCAATTCTGCCTACAAGAAATTCATGTCACCAACTAGATACCATGGTTGCCGTCGCCGGAGAGGATTGCCTTCAATCTTGCACGAACACCTTCACCATGGTATCTAGTGTTACGAGGCAGAGGTATGGACCTAATCAGGCGTTCTGGTTCTCCTTCTCTGGCTTTTCATAGCGTTATCGATATACGCTTTCTCCAGGTCAACGGAAACTCGTATATGTCAGCGCTCTTCTTCCCTTTCTCACCTCCCAACAATGAAGAGGCATCCGCTGTTGGATCTTTCGGCATGATTTCGAATTCTGACGGGCCGTCTTCACTCAGAGCACTCGAGTGATCAGTAATCGACAACCGTCTGTGTTCGCATCAGCTTGCTACCCGCTGTATTGGAGCAGTCCACGCGTCACCCTCCTGGTAAAGACGGGAACTATAAGCACATTCTCAGGCAGCCCGGCCTGCTCCTTCGCCCGTCACGTTTTGAGAAACCTCATTGGGCCCATCCTAAGCCATATTTCATCGACGCCTCCACCCGCCCACAATCACTATCCATCTTGGATCAACGCCTTCCCTAACGCTCTCACCCTGTTTACTCTCAGATAACCATACTCTGCGCGAGTGATAGTGAGAGCGTCGCCTCTTTGTGCGCGAGACACGCCTCGTTCAGACCACATAGTAATCTTCCCACATCTCATTGATTTCGGCTTCAGCAGGATGGTAGTTTTGCTGTTCTTTACACTCTTCCACCGCCCTGTCGTCTTGAGGAGTTCGGTGGATGGCTTTAGCCAGTCTGCGACGAATATTTCTGCATT